GAAGAAAGGAAAAATGAAAATTTGAAACGCAAGATGCCAAATTCAAAGAGATGTTGGGTTATATGATGAATTACTCTAACGGCACAGTCATGGAAATGGAGGCGTATGATGGAAGGGGCCAAAGTGGGGTCGTTCTTAACCCAAGCAGCAACCTTCTCTGAGATGATGCCTTCAGCATCAGGACATGTTGTCTGATAGTGACTAATGGAGAGCAAGGCCTCAGGGGGTAAGGACCTGGATGAGGTGTTGGGCACAGTTGCTTGTGGAGAGAAACCATAAATGGTGCTCAGCTTCAAAGGGAGCAAGAGAAGGAAAAGGGTGAGGTAGTGGAGCCTCATGTTTCATCAGCTTATTGCAATGCCAGATTGGGTTGGTTATGTATGTTTGATGCATTAATGTGAAAGAGAGGTGCACGTATTTAAGGTTGGGGTTGATGGTGAAAACGTGGAAGCCACTTTCTTCGCTTCAAGGTTGACATGCCAACGTGTTGGTTGATATGGCCCTTGCTATTGTTGTTTATTTTGGTTGTCTTTAGTTAGCAGGTGTTTTACTTGGTGCAGAACTAAGCAGACATTGAGGTCTACTGTGACAACTGGCTTGAGTTTTGCAGTGTTAAAGTCAACCACATGTACATGTTAAATTCAATTCAGAATTTGCATATTTTGTGTTTTAGTTTTTGGTATAATCAGAAGGTGTATCCATTTTTAAGGTAAAGTAGTCATGCTAGTTATGATTCCATATATACTTAAATTTGGACAGTGCTTTAGAGTTATATTTTTTTTTCTCTTTATTCATTTTTTCATCCTTTTTCCTCATTTTTTTTTCTCTTTAATGGAAGATTGCACAGCCTTTTGAATGTAAGTAGTACTCCAGTCCCTTCTAATAATAATATATAAAAAGTGATGAACCACGTATAATATGAAACAAAATACGTGTTCCTATCAAAAATTGAGACAATCATAAAAAGTAATTTGAAGGGGTAAAAACATATACTCTAGAACAGTGATTGCATCCATGTATTCGGTTCAAGGGGACCTATAATAAACCAAGGCCTGCAGCCACTTTAGATTTTTTTTTTTTTTTTTTTTTATAAATAGAAATTGATATCTCATTTCATTCAAACCTCCAGTACCAAATCCAATCCAAACTATTTATTTATCCCTTCTTCCTCAACCTAGAAGTTAGTCCTACAGTACCAAATACAAAAAGAAATAGATATTTAATTGTATCGTAGGTGGATATTTTGAACTTATCAAATCTCATTTATCAAGGAAAATACGGAAAGTTTAATTCTACTCACTTTTAGCTTTAAATTTTGAAGTGAATATCAATAAAGTTTGTAATCAAATACAAATTTAATTCATTTGATTGTATAAATAAGAAGGTTTGTTTTCTCGAGATAAATAGATTTTAAGAATTTAAAAATGGAAAAGAGAATGAAGAAAGGAAGCAAAATAATAAGAGAAATTGATAATAAAATATTTCAAACTAAGTTGGAATAATAAAACCTATAACTCTCCTTTAAACATAATTTCACATCAAGAATAAATTGACTAGGCTAAGTTTGTGACTATTTTGCAACCGCTTAAGTGGCAAATTTGCGTAGTACTAGGAAATTAGTGATAGGAATAGTGGCGGAATTAACAAGGAATTGTTTTGTTACTAATGTAATGATGGTTCTGAAGATAAAATTAACGAAAAAAATTACATATTCAAAAAATTTTATCTAAATATTAATAAGAAAACCTTCAAAAATTAAATCAAAACTCTCATGATAAGTTCTAAATTTCATTTATTAAAGAAGGTTAATCAAATTTAATCAAATTCTCATTTATCTTTTGAGTTTCCGGTTTATCTCAAGGAGGCTTAACACTAGTTATAAAATTAATTTATTTGAATTATATAAGCATAAAAATTTGCTTCAAATATATCAATTAATTATGAATTTTAAGAGTTTAGAAACTGAAAAGAAAATTATAATAAGTAAAGAAACAAAGTAATGAAAAAGATTGAAAGAGAAGACTTATGAGGATGGAGGAAGCTGGAGCACACATATTGAGTCAACATGAATGATGATAAGAGTTATCCCTTGATTATAAAAGATGCAAGATAAAACTCCACATAAAAAAGATATTTTATGTCTTAAACAAATAAGAAACTCACAATTTCATCAATCATTAAAAAGTTATTTACAAAATTAGATGATTTCTATTTATATCTTTAGATGCAAATCACATGGAGCTAAAGAAAAAGAGTAAAGTTTGAAATTTGAATTTCAAAATCCTATGAAAGACACAAATAAGTATATCATGTGTTCCTCGTTTAGCACATGTTCAATGCATTATTCACCTTCCATGTGCTCGAAAGTAAGTGTTAGAAAAAGAGGCTGAAATTAAGAGAGGTGCATTGATCTTTAAAAGATTTTTGTAATTTATAGATTATTTATTTTAAAGATTGAGAGTTTTAACCAAATCTTGAACCAAGACAATCAAGCTATTCAAAGTAAGACAACAGCAGAATTAAAGACAGTAAGGTTTAGAGAAATACAACCAAGATTTATACTGGTTCACCCAATCCCAGGGTTACGTCCAGTTCTCAGCCAAATTTCAGCTGAGTTCCACTAGATTGAATGTTTTACACATTACAGTTTCCAATCACACATACAATCTACTACAAGACCCAATTCTAGATCTTGCACTTAAACATTCACCAAGAACCAAATTTCAGTTCTTAAACCAACCTGTAGCCAAATTCCAGCTACAAAACCAGTGTCTAACAATTCCAGACACTCATAATACAGTAAAGAAATTAAAAGAACAAAGAGAAGAAACTAGAACAATCAAACCCAGATTATGCAGTTCCTGTAGAATAAATTTCTTCACCAAAAGAATGCAAAAAATGTCTCAAGAAAGAACTTTGAAAAATGCTACAAAACTTGCATAATTCTTTCTTGAAAGTAACTCTTATGATTGTTTGATTGATTGCTCAAAAGTATATTTTAAAATGTTGAATCAAATCTGTTTATATAGAAAAGTTTTTCAACTTCTGGTTTAATTAATCTGTTAAACCGTTTTTTAATCTGTTAAAAGTATTTTATTAATCGATTAAAACTTCTTTTAATCTATTAAAATGTTCTTAATCATTTTCTAGATTTATTTTAAGCTGATGTCACGTCATTTCAATTGATTAAAACAATTAACAAAAAGTCTCTTAAGTTGTTTTAATCGATTAATTCGTAATTTAATCGATTAATATTCTGCCAAAACCTTTCACAAAATTTTCTAACTAATTTTAACTATAACAGCATGTTTTAATCGATTAAAACAGTTAGCAAAAAGTTTCTTAAGTTGTTTTAATCGATTAATTCGATTTTGCATCGATTAAAAGTTATTTTGATCGATTATATTTGAGATTGCATCGATTAAAAGTTATTCTGATCGATTATATTTAAGGTTACATCGATTAAAAAACACTTCAAGTGGTTTTAATCGATTATTTCAAGTTATATCGATTAAAATATCTGTCAAAACACTTTTCAAAACATCTTAAGTGATTTTAATTTATTAATTTGAATCTATATCAGTTAAAATACTGGCAGAAAGTTTCCAAATACACCTTTAATAAAAATAATCGATTATTTCGAAAGTGTATCGATTAAAACAGCTCCAACAAATGTTTTAAATGATTTTAATCGATTATTTCAAAAACATATCAGTTAAAACTATTTCATAAGAACAAATTAGTCGATTAATACATTTTTTAACAGATTAAAACGTTTTTAGAGGTATTTTCGATTTCTTTCAAATGATTAATCCTCATGTAGCAGAGAGATATGAATAATTATACCTGTGTATAGATACAAACCCACTAATCACTCTACCCTTCAACCCAAGCAGCCTTTAACTTCATTAAAATCCACAAGATCTTCATTTTATCAAATGATTCAATAAGATCTTCATCATTTTCAATAAGAATCAAAATGGACTATAAATATGACTCAAACCAAGATAGAAAATGTGTTTACAAGATAAATCCAACTAAGTCCCATCAATCCAAATACAAGCTTAAAAAGAAGAAGAAATAAAATCCAAAGAAATACAAAATAAATACATTTAATATTTGACTAAGACCCTCACTCTCAGATCCTAACTCTAAGTCATGCTTAGGTAATTCTCTAAAAAAATATAATTCTCTTGAAAGATACAAGATTTTAGTCAATTATATTTCGTGCATTCGTATATTCATCACTTAGCAAACATTTCTTAGAAGTGTATAATTTCATCTCAAAATGGAAATAACTCACGTTAATTGTTTCTTATCTTAAAAAATATAAAATATGAATTTGTATATCACATTATTCTTGAGTAACTTATTATTGATTTTACTCTAATAGAAATTTTCTTAATAAATTTTAAAGAACTAATTCTCTCTCTTATTTTTTCTTCTCATTTACTTTATTTTCTTTATTTTTATACGTTACTTAAATAAGCGATTATAAAAAATATTTACGCAATTTAAAATGTCATATATAAGATTCCTTCAATGAAAAGTTGTTTGAAACAACTAATATTTTATAATGAAAAGTTGTTTGAAACAACTAATATTTTATTTAGGCATTTCACCCTCTAACTCCTCCTATTGGAGATGCTCTTATGAAAATTCAAATAAGTCATTTTGACAAGTATCATCAATACCTAGAGAAAATGTATACATAGATGAGTGTTCTTGAAAATTTTCCCTCAATGAAGAGGCTAAGATTCTATTCCCAGCACACAGACAAGAAACTAAGGCTTTTTTCAACTGATTGACCAAGATCAAATCCTTAAAATAAATAAACACTAAACAAGATTTTTCCCTTTAATTTGTTCCCAAGGAATTCATTTATCTCATTCTGAATTAACTACCTGACAATGCATGAACTGCATGAGAAACTTGTGAATCGAACGTTTACACCATAGAGAATTACAAAATCCTAAAAATGGTGCCAAAATGTAAGTTATTTAACTAAGTGGCTGAACTGGAAGATCCTTGGTTGTTTCAACTAAAAATGGAATTGGCTTTGTTGGGGCTGGCAAGCGACCAATGCTATCAACTTTATCCTTTTGCTTTGGAGGAGGTCTAGCTGCTTTAGGCAACAATCTGCCTTTCTTTTCAAACCACTCAGGCTTCAGCAGTGCCCTTAAGCCCAACTTATTATAATACACCTTTCTCACAGACCCACCAGCTGCTTCAACTGCTTCCTTAGCCCTAACAGTAACCCTTGATACCTGTAAAATCACTGTGTTAAACTACCGTAATTTAATTTTAATATATTTCCAATGCGCTCAGTTTTTGTTAGTTTATGCTCTGCTAATGGAGAAAGAATTTCAGGCCACCATCTAAGTAACTCGTATACTATTTAGCATGAGTAAGAATGATGATTAATTATGACCACGGTGAAATTTATGAAATAAGATAAAGATAAGTTTAAAGAAACTGATAAAAAATATATATATTCCCAAAGTTAAAACTTAAGAATGAAAAAGCATGATTATTATCCTCAAAACACTATTAGCCTTCAAATAAAGTCTACCTCCAGATGAATTGGCCACTTGATTTGCTCTGAACCACGACCCATCAATCTTACTCCATCTTTCATTTGCTTCCCAAGTGCCCCTGCATCCTATGGTAATAATAATGACCAGAAGAATGAGGGGAAGCACATGAAGTAAAAACAATTCAGAAGAAATGAAGAGGTAAGGTAGCAGTTATAAAACCTTGAGTGTTTTCATTGTAATCAGTTCAGAAGAATCTATATTCCCAGCATTAATAAGCTTTGCAATTCTCCCCAAACCTATTGGCTGCAGAAAAATAAGCAAAAAAAAAATCACAATTTAGACACATCAATGGCTAATAGATGAAGCGTTGCAGACATTAAAATAAGAAACAAATTAAAACTAACATAAACCTGAATAAAAATGAGCTACTCAATGCTCATAAATCCAAATTGAACTCCAACAACCAAGGAATAATATACCTTACTACATCAACATCAACAATCACGTATAAAGAGTTAAGATATAGAGAAAAATTATCTTGAATATAATAAACTACAAACTTTTAAAAACATTTGCTGTTAGTGATCACAATACTTTTAGTGAAAATCATGCTTGGGAAATGTCGCATGGGAAGTAGAGGTTCATATCAATGGAAACCAACTTAGTCACTTGGCCATAAATATTCACAGGAGGTTTTAGAATCTTGAAAAGAAAATTTGCATCAGACATAATATTTCTTGTAATTAAAATAACACACAATATTAGCATATTAAGCATATCAATTTAACTTCACAATGTCAGGGAATGTTTCCCATTATATATATATATATATATATATATATATATATATATATATATATATATATATATATATTTCATAAATACCATATATGTCAACTCCTATGTGACTTTGGCTATAAGCTAGCAAAGCTATCATCCACTACATGATACAACGGGTTATTTGGCTTTCTGCAATTGTCCACGATCCGTAATTAATACCATTGAACACCATAACAAAATGGTTGACAACAAGAAAATCTGTCTTTTTCTCCATTATTTATCAAGTATGAAAATTATAGTTTATTGGGAAAGAATGCATTTCAAGAAACAAAAACAACCTTGACCAAGTACATTTGGTCCAAGAATTCAAGTATCGAGTTCAATAATTTCCCTGGATTGATAGAAAATCTAGTTAGCTTTAGGAATAGACCAAGTTTATTGGCTTTCTGCCATTTTACACAATCTGCAATTAATAACATTGAACACCACAACAGAAAAGGTTTGAATAGACAAAAAAAAGTCTTTTTTCATATTTCTCCATTATTCAGCAAGTATAAAAATTCTAGATTATCGGGAAAGAATGCATGTCGAGAAACAAAAACAACCTTGACCAAGTAATTTGGTCCATGAATGAATTTTATAGTGTTCATCTAGGTAGCACTGGCAATAGAAGTTTAATACTTCAGAATTGAAGCCGTAAAAGGAATTTGAGCGCACCAAAAGAAAGTATGCAATTTTGGTTTTCCTTATGTATTAAACAAAAAGAAAACGATAAATATAAAGATGAAAACATACCTGAAAAGTGAGGCTAAATGGGTTCTTGAACCCACGTTTGGGTACTCTTCGGCGAAGAGGGGTCTGGCCTCCTTCAAAACCCAATTTTATGCCTTTTCTGGCTCTCTGACCCTTGTGACCCCTCCCAGCAGTCTTACCCTTTCCAGACCCAATCCCACGCCCCTTCCTCGTCTTCTGTTTCCTGGGAATCTTATCTCTTAGATCATTCAAGCTCAGAAGACTGTAAGCTCTAACACCTTGAAAATCTGGGAATTCATTACGACGACTGATTGTTTGATAAGCATTAAGAGTGTGAGGGAGCTGAAAGGGTTGAAATTGGATAGATGGGTATCTGAGAATGGGTTTGCTATGATTTGAGCTTCTGATGATTGACGTTGAGAGAACAGATAGTCTTCGTCTAAGCATTTTTTTATCTACTCTAATCTTTCACTAACAAAAAAATAAGTGTTAATTTACAAGGGAAACAGCTTCACACCTTAGGAGAACCAAAATAGAACAAAATGGACTATTACAAATCACACTGCGAGAAAACACGCATAATCATTACAGATCCAAATAAAACCAAATCACAGGAAATCCAAGCTACCAAAAAAAAGTGCATACTATATACCAAATTCAAATGCCAAAAACATGAATCCTGCCTTATATTAAAACCAACAATCAAATCAATAGCCTTTAAGCACACAATAAAAGCTACAAACTCAGAGAATGCATTCACAAAAATCACACAAACCAGAAAGCAAGACGGAAAAGGGGACAGCTCACACGCTTAGGCAATAAACCAAACACCACATAAGCACTGATCATAGCTAAACATTTTACCCGACATGGAAAACCTCATTAACAGCAAAACCAAACCAACCACATCGGAATTCTCACTTATTCCAACCAAAGCAATGACACATTGCACGTGACAATCAAACATTTTATCAAACAGCTAGTGACCAAAACACAAGGCCACGATCTTGTCAAATACCAAGCAAAAGGAACATACCCATTTTCTACTATATCAACCTAATCAATAAGTGACCCTACGACCATTTTGACCCTTTCACCAATCTACATGAACCATGTTAGAACCTCAAAATCATACGAGTGACTACCTTTGAAGCTAATAATTACAAGAGAAAAGTGCAAGCAAAGGTCCTAATAATCACCCTTTTACCTGGTTTTGTGTGGAATTTGAGTAAATCTAGAATGAACTTCAATGGCGGTCGGAAACGGATGCCCCGCGGCGGAGTCTGCGTCCACACTACAGAGGTTTCTTGACAGAGGATGGTGCAAACAAAAATTCATAAGAAAACGTTGTGGTTGTGGCATCGACAACCGACGTCGTTTTATGTTCCCTTAATATTTGCACTCAAGTTTATTTAAACACAGTGAAATTTCGACTTTTGTTTTATAATACTATTTAATTAAATATTTACTTAAATAACCCACATCCATATTATTACTAAAGTTGTGGAAAGACCAGAAATCCATTGGGAGGAAATGCATTTCCCACATCAAACTCTCTGTTTCTTTCAAAATCACAATGAGAAATTGGTTGATACTGAACCCATTTCTCAATTGCATTCTTTTTTAACTATCAATTTCCTAATAATTCTAATCAATTATTTTAAATAATTTATAATAAATTTCAAATAATATTTGATATTTTTTAATTGATTCTTGAAATATTTTCAGATGATAGTAAATAAGTCGTAATTATTTAATTTTAAATTTGTATAGAAAAAATATAAAATTATAATTATAAATTATTTAAAATGTTTGGTTTAAAATAATGTACTCTTTTTGCAGCTATTTTTAATACAAAAGAAAAAGAATATATTAGAAAGCACGTTATTAGTATTTTCATATATGTAAAACTAATTAAAATGTCTATATTTAAAAAATTATTATATATTTTATTAATATATTCTTTTACATTGACTGAAATTTATATAGAAAGAAAGTTTATAAAAAATAAGTAAAAGAGATTAGAGAAAATATGAAAATTATAGAAATTAGATAAAGAATGAGAGAAAAGAGAAAAAGATGAGAAAGTTTAGAGAAAAGAGAAATAAAAGAGAGAAATTGAAGAAAGAAAATATAAAGTAAGAGAAAGAGTTATTTTTAAAGTCATCTAATTAAATTATTGAGAAAGAAATCTCAATGGAGGATAGTAAAATTTTGATTTTGTTTTTTCTTTTATTTCAAATTATGATTCTAATATTTTTTCTTATAGTTAATGAAAAAAAAAAGATAAAAGAAGAAGCAAGTATAACTATGGATGAAGATAAAAACCAATTATATCATTTGGTTTTAAATTCCTTAAAACAATTAAAGAATATTTCTCCTTAATAATAATGTTTCTTACCAAGATGAGTTTTATAAGAATGGAAAATAATAAGATAAAAAAAGTTACTTTTAATATGCCTATATATTCTTTAATTAGTAAAATTTTGGATCTTAGTTAATTCTTCATATTTCATATTGAATTGAATTGATTTTAAAACTTATGATTAGTCATTTATTTTTTTATTTTTTGACATTTTTATAGGTTAATATTTGATCTCTAAGAAAGACGTATAGTCAATTAATATGAATGAATGATAACGTAGAATAACTATCATGAAGCCAATTTCTTCGTTTGTTCAAGTACCAAGACATTTTCGTGCCCAACAAGCTTTTGTTACCAAAAATAATAGGCAATTGGGACGAAATGAGCATTTTTCTTTTTTCTGCTTGACCATAAATTATTGAATAAAAACCATAAATGAAGCTACTACTTGCATCTTCTTCTTCTGTCCTTACAACCCCACCCTTCTTCTGCTGGTTTAACAAGTGCAAGTGGTCACACAAATATGGACCAAAAAACATATATTGTCATAATATATCCCATAGTCACGTCTATTTAAATTTGTACAACTAATAATGCTTTGATATGTATTCGTGTGGGAGTAAAATTACTTAAATGTAGTTTATCTTTCCGAAAATATATTATTGGTGAGAGGAGAAAAGTTTTAATTCTAACTATTTTAAACCAAAATTGAGATATAAGAAGAAGACAAGTAAACATATTATTAAGAAGCAAAATCTGCAAAACAAATTTAAACCAAAATTATATTGGATTCAAAAGCAAAATATGAATACATCTTGAAAAAAAAATTAAAATAAAAAATTAAATAAAATTGTTTTCTCTCATAATGAGAATATATTTATTTTATAAAAATCAAAATGATTTAATTTAAGTAAGATTAAAAAAAAATTGGTTGAAATTAGTCAAATTATATTTTTATCAAAAGTTGTACATGCACGGATTAATTTTCTATTTGTATAATTCTTTCAGACGAAAAAAGTTATATTGTTATTATTTTTGAAAAAATTGAAGATTATCTAACTAATGTTTAATCTCATATTAGTATTGATAGAGTAAATTTTCATGTTCAAAATATTATTTACTCTAAAATTTTAATTTATTATGATTTTATCTTTAAAAAGTATTTTGGTAAGTTAAAATATATATAATATATATATATATATATATATAATTATTCTTTTATTGACTCTTAAATAACGTAATATTTATGAGTTTTTAATCAAAAATTAAAGGATATGAACGACGTAAAACTCTATTCTCGATCCTACACTCAACATCAATGTTTCCTTCAAAAATAAAAGTATCCTAGTCTGATGTTATAATAAAATTGTTACATAGATGATAATTTATCTTAATAATATATCATTTCGAATATGGGTTAGAAACATTTAATGATATATCGTAACGGACATGGATAGAAACATTACCAGATGATGGAAGAATAACAAATAATTTTTGTATGAAGTAAAACAGTCACTGCAAAATCATGTTCAAATAGACTTTTTGCATACACCAACCAGTGGTGAAGATGGATGATATTCATAATGAATTATCTAGAAATGAGGAGAAAAGAAAAAAAAAATGGATAGGCATGTTGGAGAAATAAAAGGGAATGGGTAGCATGGTGGTCCAGTTATTTATTGTATGTGTTTCAATTAAGCTTTGATTGTCAAAATCAAGACAATGATGAGACCAAGATCTACATGTGATCCTATTTGGACCAACAAGTAAGCTCCCTCGTCCCAACAACGTCACAGTTATCATCAACATCTCATGAAAATGGTCCAGTAACAGATCATACATATTATTTATTTTAAATAAATTTAATTAAAATATTTCAAATATGTAAATACTTTTTAATATGATAAAATTACTCAGTAACAGTTATACCTAAGGTTACTTATAATCCATTAATTATATGCAATTTGGTATTGCTTCTTTTATTCTTACAATATAATCAAAATTATCATTAAAAATTCTTATAGCAAATATTACTAAGGTTAAATTTTGAGATTACAGTCGAAGTATTTAAAATTTCTTAAAAACTTATTCACATGCTATACTATTTTATGATAGTTAAAAATGGTTTAAAAAATTATTGATATAGTTATTATTAAATTTAATATTTTTAAGAAAAATAATTGACGATTGTTATTAAAATGTAAAATATACAATAAAAATTAAAATAATTATTATTATCTTATATATATATTTTAAAAATATTATAATGAAGATTTTAAAATTTATTTAATATTATATTAAAAATTCTTCTAAGAGATATTCTTAATACATAATTTCGTAATAAAAATACATATGTCATTTCTACGATTAAAATAATAGATTTTAGAAATAAAAAATTGATGCAAACAAAATTTGTAGTAACTAAAATAATCATTAAAATGCTAGTATTTATGTAAAAAATATTCTAACAATTGAAAATTGTCATAAAATAAATTCTTACTTTAGTTTAATTTAACATTTTGTTGTATTTTAAAACTGTTACAAAATTCATTTTTATTTAATGATTATTTTTTATATTTTAACAATTAAAAACCGTTACAATATATAAAATATTTTACAATTATTTAAAACTTAACGAAGGTTTAAGAAATTGTTAAAAATGATTTAATTATTATTTTTTAATTATTTTATTAATGAGCCCAAATGTTAATTATTATTTATAAATTAATTTTTTTTAATTAATAATTAAAATACCTATTTTTATTTATAATTAGATAATTGTAATAATAATTTTATATTATAATAACATTTATAATTTAAATATATAATATATTAATAACTTAGAGCTAAATTAATTATATTAAAACAACTTAATAATATATATATATATATATAACATTATTTTAATTTTCTCTTAAAAATGATTAAAATGTAATTTCTAAATATAATTCAATTTCAAATATAATTTAATATAAGTTAAGATAGAATAAAATCTCATCTCATCACATTACTCGTTAGTAAAGTGTATCTACCGATATAATTAACAATATAATTTTATCATAATTAAAAAGTATATAAAGAT